CTCTTTGGCATTTTCCTCTCCAGAATACAATCACCTCAGGCCTTTCACATATGAGTACGCATTCCTGACCACACTTGCCTCTGCCTAGAATATCCATTCAGATTTCTCTCCTGTTTAGCCAAGATTTTCCACCAGTCTGGATTTAGGTAGTTGACTGTTTAAGGCACACACCAAAGCCTAGAAGTACTAATTGCAATGCGTCCTAAATAAACCCCTGTCTAGTTAGGGCTTGTATTCTATGCCTTAGTTTACTCAGGTCATCTTTTTAGCAGCAATTAAGGCTGAGGAAGCACTTTATCAAATTACAGAAAATGAATTATTTAATTAAATACTCATCACTTCATACTAAAATGGATTGTTTTCCAACCTCAGACAGTTGGAAACAGTATTTTCCCACGCAATTAGCAATTATTACAAATTTACTGCTATGGTATTTCTGCCCAGGGCACAGATTTATAGCATAGCTTTTTTAATAAAAGCTTTCACCAACTAAAAGCTATCAGTTCCCATTCAACTTAACTAGCAAAAGGCTGAATCAAATCTATCAGTAGATAAAAGCTGCAATTAACATCATTCTTCTTTTATCATAAGCAGGTCTGTTAGCAATACCAGTTTGGAGCAGTAGCTAGAAAAAAGAAAGCCAAAGTTTACCCACATGAGTCCTCCAAGTGAGTCCACTTCTATATACTACCACTCTAACTGCTTCCAAAATACTGTTACATTTCACATTGTATAAAATCTTAAAAAACCACACCAACGTACTGTTAATGTCAAGGTAAATTTTTGAAAGTCTATTTTGCAAGACATGATTCTTCATGCTAGAAGTGTTTTAAACAATACTAAGAATATTTGTCTAGCACTGACATTTTCAATTAAAAATACACATCTTTATTCTAAAACTTAGATATTTGTAGAGTTTAAAGTTTCTGTGAAAAGGAAGCTTCTGTATCTGTTTAAATTGACAAATGCATGAAGCATCCTCTGTTAACTTGTCAATCTCTTTTTAAAAATGTCAATCTGTACTTCCTCTCACAAATGCCCAATTATTAATGGTGGCCAGCGCCATGCTATAAATAAACTGTAAGTACTGCTAGAGTGAGGAAGGGTGGCTGTTCAACTAACCATATCTTTAAAAAGCAGACTATTTTTTATATTATGAGTGGCTGATTACTGGAAAGAACAATCTTACTCTTTTGCAGACTGTATGCAAGGAAATGAGAAGCTTAAAATTGGACATGGCCAGTTTAGCTCTTTCATATACAGTGTTCTTATTCTTTTTGTAAACTGGAACTAACACATTTATACCAGCCCTAATTTATATCATAAAAATTTATTAAGTTCTTCACAATAGCAATTTATTGTTATTTAGGAAAAAAAAAAGCCAAGACAATTCACTAAGCTGTCTCTCTTAGGCAGACTTCAGTTTTCTTTCTTGCCTGTCCTGAGCTCCAGATAGTCACAACAGCTACTCAAGAAATCCACCCTTTCAGAAGTCCATTCTGAATAGCAATGGCTTGCAACTTGTATATTAATATAAAATATAAAAATAAAAATATAAAATAAAAATATAAAATATCTATATTTTATTAAAAATATATAATATAATATATAGTATATATTTAATATATATTAAAATTTAAAAATATATTTTTAAATATAAAATAAAAATATAAAATCATTACCACCTTCATTAAGCAACAGTGCTTTCTAATTACTGTTTCTAGAAAAAAAAAAACCAACAAGCCAGTTTACTGAAAATATCTCCATTATGCAAACTGAATTTATTCCTCAATCTTGGTCCAGGCATTTCCACAGAACTGCCTAAATGTCTCTTTACAAGACAATAAAAACAAAGTGTTCTAAAAAAAGGCTAATAACAAAGAGCATGTTTCCATTAAGATTTTGACATGGGTATGCATCATCACAGTATAACCAAACCCAAGCAAAACCACTGCATCACAGTTATTGTAACTTAAGGTACCAAACTAGAAATCAGTAAGTTTTTCTATATCGCTAATATATACAGAAAGGAAGATGAAGACCAACACTGGATTAAAACAACATGGCAAGTATAAATCCTATCTGAAGAAAAGCTGAAGGTTAAGTTGGAACATAAGCTTTTGAAACCCTTCCTGCATAGGTAGTCACCTTTAGTGACAAAAACCACAAAGTTCACACAGGGCTGAGTTTAAGCATTCTTAAAATTTATCAAGCATGACATTTCTCAAAGCATTTTTCAAGATCCTCCGTATAGATCCATGCAGAAGAGATATCCTGACCAGCCAAATCCTTTCTGGAAAAACCCTAGAACTCACGAGATAAACACTTTGTTGATAAGAATTTGTAAACAGGTTTGAAAACATGTCTCAATTAATACTACAACTTATCACTACGCTGATCTTTATTGCTGGAAGTAAGACTACTCAGTGACAGCAGCTTTCCAAATTTATGCTGATGCATCAACAAAACATGGACATTCTATAATACTAGTAGCATTAATTACACACAGAAAATCATCACATTTCCCATTGAATCCAAACATGCATACCTAATTTGAGTGCCTAAAAGAAAGATTCATGAAATCCAATCACCCTTTCCTACAAGAAACTTTACAGCCATCAACATCTCATACCACTTAAGTCCTGCTTTGTACTGAAGGAAAACTTACTGAAATATACCAGGTTAGGAGATAGGTAGTTACTGTGCCTGACTCTGGATCAGCAAAATCAAGGAAAACAAAACTTACAGTATAGTGAAATACTGTTGAAAAATATTCAAGGTTAAGATCCCTACTACATCAAATCAGTGCTGACCATTAAGCCAGTAAGAAACCTGACTTCCCCTCTCTATCAAAGTAATAAAGACATACAGTAAAGAGTAATTCCACTGACAGTAAGAGTAGTTTTCACACATTATCATCTCAACATTTGTTTTATCAGCTATTGGTGTTCTCTCATGCATGTAAATATGTGCTAGTAAGCTTATAGCAAGATATTACAAGGACATGAAAGTAAAGATTAACTATGTACCTCAGGAAGAATATTTTAAACATTTATCTTTGAACATAATTAATTTTCTATTGAAAAAAGAGGTTTAAAAAAATATATGCAATTTGCTACCAAACAACTATCAAACCAGAAACATTCACGCTATAACTTCAGCTCAGAAGAATAACTTCTGAAAAATAGAGACAGAAGAATCGCATGACAGTTTCAAAAGTAAATTCTATATCCTAGAGACATGAAATGATCCAACAGTACTCCTGAACCTCTAATACTTACACAACAATTAGCTAGAAATAATTAACAAGAATTTACTAGGTTTCAGAGATGCCATCTCAAACCACAATCTAGCAATTAAACCATCAGATACTACTCACAAAGCACGAGCCTGAATGAAAGTGGAACAACAAAAACATCAGATTAAATTTTAGAATTGTGCCCACTTTTTATTCTTTCTCCAACTCTGTAGTTTCTTTCTCAATGTACTCAAGAAGCTTAAGAACTGAAAAAAAAAAGGCAACGATTCACCTCCAAGTTACCAGATGTTACAAGTGCCAGATAGAAGAGGAAAAAAAGATATCCGTGAGAAGTTCCAGCATTACACACATCCTAGTCAGAAGATAAGCTCGCCAACTTCACTTCACGAAGTGCAATGTACCAAAACATGCCAGCAGCAATAGCAGCATCACTATAATCTCTCACTCCCCCATCACACTCCCCTGCTGAGATGTGCTCTACAGCAGGCTTCCAGACATCCCTTGGCCTACCTCCTTGCCACCACCTTCCTGTCTTTGCCTGGTTGGCATATTAAGCCTCTTGCTAGTGAACTTGAGACCTTTTTCGAAGTCCTGATCAGAGACTGGTACTATTACAGACTCCCAAAAAGACACAAGTCAGAATTCCTAGAGGCTGTTGCTGTGCACCATATATCTGAGTAAGTCAAATCTTGAGCAAGTTTTAAAAGTTTTAGCAGTTTAAAAAAGAGTTTTAAAATAAATGAGGCGATCTGTTTTAATTTTTAGATGACTGCAATACCTGCCAGACATCCAAATGTAAAAATCTGGGTTTTCTTCACGTTTTTTTCCAAAATGTATCCAGTTGATGTAATCAATCCAGTCTTTTTTTTTTCAGTTCAAGACTTGTTTAATAAAATTCTATTCGTAAGCTGAGTATTAGTAAAAAAAGAAAACTTCCCATTTATCAACCTTAATTCGGTTTGGAAAAAACCACATTTGGTAGAATAAGAACGCAAGTAGTAAGATTTAACACTACTACTCTAGGAACTTGTGTGCTACACCGAAGTCCAGCTACTTTTTCCCTAAATCACATAACTGGACTGACTATTTAACAGTAATGCAGAAAAGCTACAACATGCTTTTTGGTGAGCGTTAGTCGTAATTAATACATATCAGTTTTGAAAGCCACAAGAAGCAGACTTTTTTTCTTTATCTTCTACGGCCAATTCATCTTTATGAGATTTCATTTATATGTAGGCTCTTTTTTCTTACCAGTGTAGTACAGAATAAAACCAGCAACACATTAACTTATTCAGAGGAAGAAGCATGCAGAAGAACATTTTCTTTTGGAAATGTTCTATAGTCATGTTTGGAAAGTACAGTCAAAGAACTACTACCCTCTCTCTCTAGTGCAACGTGTAAAAACTGTGACAGATGGTACCTCTTTTGGGAAGTTGGTCTGGGGTCTTAGGCTGGCCTCTGAAAAACCTTTGCAGCCTCCAGAGGCAAACTGTATCCCTACGTACAGAAACCTCTAACATAAGAAATGAAAAGCTGCTTACCACAGCTGCAAACAAGACAGCTTGTTTTCTTATTTGGAACTCCTTGCCTTGCTCCACAGCGTTCCGCTGATACCACTAACTTTCATAATAGATGACCTAATAGAATTTGCCATACCCATGTTTGCTTTCACCAGACATTAGCCCACAAATATGTAACACCTCAGAACATGAAAAGATGGCAATAATGAAATAGCACTTACTGTAATCACAGCCTTGCTCAGACAGATAGAGCCTCTACAGCCATACTCTGTTTCATCTTCAGACTTGTAGTAACTTAGCGTGTTGCTTTTCAGAACTACCCATCGATCCTGCCACCCATGAATGTAGTTGGTCCACTGTAAAAAAAAAAATTCCAAAGATCAGCTAATAGAAAAATAACAATAAAGACAGTGTGGCTGACTTCTCAGGCTTTTAAGCACTAGGAGAAAAAAGCAACTTATTTTTAAAAGTTACTCCCAAATGACAACTTTATTCTGCTCAGAGGTCCTAAAGTAATTTTACAAACTCCTAAAGGTACTAAAAATCAGTTGTTTCAAATGAACAGTAAGATAACAGATATCTTGACTGCAACTGCATTGCCAAGGCCAGTTAAAAAAAGGTGATAAACATACTTAAGACACAAATTGAAGAAAGGGGGAGAGGGGGAAAATCAAACATTAATCACCAAGGTGAGTTTAGCCACCTGATTTAAAATCTGGAGTTAGACCAAAAGCCAAACTTAAGTGGAACATGAAATAATTTATTTTATATAGAAGTTAATTTTTACAAAAAGTATTTTACTAAAGTATCTAGTTCTCTTCCTATAAATACAAACATGCCACTATGCCACAGTACAGCATATAACTATTGTAGCACCTAGAGTAATCAGTTCTTTATCAATTTAATATTGCCCATAGATATTGTTTTAGGTTTTAATTCCTAACCACTTTCTCATTAAGAAGATGCTTGCTTAGCAGCAGACATCCAATCATCCTTATGCTATTCAGATTTTTCTAGGGACTCCACATTCACAGACGGAATGAAACCGATATTCCAGGAACAAGTCCTGGATTCATCCTACAGAAATCTAGTAAGAAGTGACTAAAAGTTCTGGTTATTAATCTTTTATATATTTGCATCCTTTTTATACATTTGCAACATGTTCCCAACTGCACTTTGTAGAATCATATGACACTGCTAGAGCATCAGGACTGTTTTGTAACTCTGACTGTACACTGGTGCTTGGCCTTCAATCACAATGCAAAAATTATAAATTAGATAAAAACGGAAACAAAACCACCGAAAACAATTTTATCATGCAAGCATTTCTTTGATCATGACAACCGTTCTTTGACAAAAAACTCTGATAGATAAGCTCTTTTTAGCATTTAAGTCTAACCATTATTCCTCATTTTGTAATATAGAAATGGAGGGGAAGAAAGTTGACTAACAGTCTCATTTCCACATTATACTACACATATTAGTTAATACATGTCCCATAACTACATGTTAACTCTAGTAATAACAAGAGGAGGTCTAAGGAAAACAAATTCTATAGCTCAGAAATTCCTAACAAGTTTCAAGCATAGGTAAGACCTTAATTTGCTCTCCAGAGATGAAGCCCTTTTTGATCTCTTAATACATCAAATTGCTAAGTTCAGCATTTCTTAAAGAAAGCTTCAGCTGTGCTCAGTACATGAACTGGTAGCACAAGCGGTCACAGAGCTATATTACTTGTTGCCTTCCTCTCTTCCCATCTCTCATGTTCCTGACTCCTTCCAGATGTGAAAGACAGAGTCCAAAGTCATCTTGGGCAAAAGAGCAAGGGACAGGGAGGAAAGCGCCTTTCCTTCTTTGACAGTGTTAAGAGAGACAAATATAGCAGTCAATCTCACATTTGTTGTTGCAATCAATGCTTGCTGTTGCAATCAAAATGTGCCATGAATTAAGAGACTCCCTAAAGCACACTGGGCAGGCACAAGATTTTGGCAAAGAGAAGACCACTGGTTTTTCAAGCATCTAGATTCTTGTGCTTCAAGAAAGGCTTTTCCACATTAAAGTTCTTTCTTCGTATCCACCTTAAAATTGTTAGCAGAAAGTACAATGGAAAAAAGCCTAGAGTTTTGAAACATTTTAAAGACACCAGCAGGATGTACTGCTAATAAGCTTCTCTCACCAAACTACTCCATTTCCTTCAAAGTTCCTTTCTTTACCAAAGGGCAGAACAACTGAAACACTACTAAGCACACAGAGAACTGTAGCCTACTTCTACAGCTTTAGAATTTAATTATACACAGTAAGTTATTAAAAATAGATATTTCCTTTGTAGAAAGATTCATATGCTACCATTTCATTTTAATTAGTTTGTCTCAAGTACAACCAAGGCATCAACTAACAAAAGGTAAACTTATCCCTCAGGCACATTCACTGCAACAGGTTTCACCGTACTTGATTATTCCGATTACATCCCATGTTCTCACAGGAAAGGCAGCATCAGCTACACTCAGCATAATCATCCAGAAAAATAAAAAGTTTGCACACACCTAAGCTACAGAATTGCAGAAGCCACAGCTTGACCTGCTACACCAGTAGGGAACAGCACCTGGACTTAATAAATTATTTAATTTGCCAACATAAAAATCAATTGCATCCCACAAATTACATCCCTTCTAACGATGGAAGTATCTAATCAAAGGAAAACTTTACAATGGAAAAAAACCAATAAAACTACAGTAAACCAAAACCTCACATTTTAACCGCTGTAACATTTCACATCTGTCTCACCCTCTCCCTCCCCCATCCACTATAAGATGACAAGATCTTACAAACAAAAGCCAAGCCCCTTCTTTTCTAATCGTTCCTCTCATCTCTAGGTTTTGAAAAATTTACAGGCTGGAAGAATTCACCAAGTCCCTCACGAAAAGAAGAATGCTAGCTTCGTTATGGCCGTTTTCTTAGCATCCAGGGCTGGTTTATGATCTCTGTATTCTTGTAACCTGTGCCTCCTACTTTGGCTTGTGTCCAGCCTTATCATGTAGGGTAGGAAAAAAATTCAAAACGTAGTGCTTTAATTCTAAAGATATTTCAACATTATTCTGACAGTATGTTCTGTAATAAACTAAAAAAAAAAAAAATTCTGCATTCAAACTTAGCAATTCAATATTCAACTTCAAAGTACTCCTAAAAATAAAATTTGCCGGTATCACCTGACACATACTTGCAAGTCATCTTATTTTCAGTGATAAAGGAGCAAAAAATTACGTTTCTTTTCAAAAGGGGAAACAAGCTCTCGGGACATTTTCCTTCCGCTCCTCCCCACCTCCCGCGTCTCTTGCTGCATGAGTATTTTATTGCCCTGTTTTGATACTTGGCCTGAAGGCCGTGCCGCTCCCGCGCCGCTGCCCGCTCCTGGGGGGCGACCACGGGCTGCGCCCGCCTCCGGGAGCTCCGGGGAGGCGAGCGGGGTGCCGCGGCCCCAGCCCGCACCCGGGCCCGCCGCCGGCTCCGGCCAGGAGCCTAAGGCGCGGAGGAGACGCCCTCTCCCGGCGCACCGGGCCGCCTCCTCCCGGGCCCGGCTCTCCGGAACCTCACGCCGGGCAGCCAGCGAGCCTCGGGGCGGGGGCAGGGGGCGGCAGGGACCCCCGGAGGCGGCAGGGACCCCCGGGCCGGGCGGTCACGACGCTCGAGAA